CAAAGTGCTGAGATCACAGGCATGAACCACTGCACCCAACCAGGACTTTTTTTTTTTTTTTTTTTAAACAAACTTCACTCAGTGTGAAGGCATCACTGTTTGGGTTTCCTATTAATTGCAGTTAATCCTATTGAGTAGATTTATCAAGGACAAAGAGCAGAATGGAAAAATGAGTAAAGTGAAGGAGAAGAACTGACTGAAAAGTCTTAGCAAGGTTCCATGGCACCTGTGATGCTTCCACCCCACATATTTGCTGAGTACCCACTGTTCACAGGTCAGTCGCTGTGCAAGGCACTGAGGTGACAAAGACAAGCGGAATGGCAGTTAAATGTAGCACGGGCTTTGTGCTCAATTAGTTCTGGGTTCATTCCCAGGCCCTATCACTAACTAGTACCCTTATGAACCTGCACATGTCACTAGCAGCCTCAGTTTCCTCATCCATAAAATGGGGATAGCAACATGTGTCTCCTACACTTGATGTGAGTATCACATGAGAAATGCACATGAAATGTTTTACATAGTGATGAGCATATGGTAAATAAGAATAATAGATTTGGCCAGGTGCGGTGGCTCAAGCCTGTAATCCCAGCACTTTGAGAGGCCAAGATGGACGGATCACGAGGTCAGGAGATGGAGACCATCCTGGCTAACACGGTGAAACCCCGTCTGTACTAAAAAAATACAAAAAACTATCCGGGTGTGGTGGCGGGTGCCTGTAGTCCCAGCTACTCGGGAGGCTGAGGCAGGAGAATGGCATAAACCCGGGAGGCACAGCTTGCAGAGAGCTGAGATCCGGCCACTGCACTCCAGCCTGGGCAACACAGCAACACTCCGTCCCCCCCTCCCCACAAAAAAAAAAAATTTAATAGATTTTAGTGTAAACAAAATAAAGGGTCCTATCATTGTCCTTAGGAGCTTATGAAAACAGAGCTATATGCACATCCACAGACAGTTACCACACTCAGGAATAGTGGAAAACTGACAAGACCCTGGAGATGCTGCGTGGGGAGGGATAATGGAAACCCAGGTCAACATGCTCTAGGAACAGTAAGAGAAACTCCCAGTGTCAATGGTAGATGGGGAAGGTCTTCTTCTCTTCGGAGACTGAAAGGCTGAGAGGACACCTACCCTGCTAAGGAAATGAACAGGATGGAAGAATGATGGACGGAAAAAGGGAAGTCCTCAGCACATAAAAGTTTGAGCTGGAAATGAAATATACAACTCTGTATAGTCAGCATATTTTGCTGGGCTGAGCCAGTTCAGCTCAACAAGGATTGCTAGGCATCTGCTTGGAGGACAGAGGTGAGGATACCAAGGCAATGAGTACAGGATCCTTGACCTTGAGAAACCTATAGTCTAATAGAGGAGGCACATATAAAAGTAATTAGGTATAACATAGTGCAGAATTTGCAGCCATGGGGTCATCTACAGGTCTGCCTGGAATACAGAGGGACAAGTGTTTAGTTTTTTCCAACTGTTCACAGAGGACAAGACACTTGGGCAGAAGGTTGAAGGCAATTGCACGTTGGCAGTACCCACTTGATACGGTTTAGCTGTGTCCCCACCCAAGTCTCATCTTGAATGGTAGCACCCGTAATCCCCACGTCTCATGGGAGGGATTTGAATGGTGGGAGGTAATTGGATCATGGGGATGGGTCTTTCCCATGCTGTTCTTGTGACAGTGAATAAGTCTCATGAGATCTGATGGTTTTATAAAGGGCAGTTCCCCTGCACAAGCTCTCTTGCCTCCCACCATGTAAGACATGACTTTGCTCCTCACTGGCCTTCTGCCATGATTGTGAGACCTCCCCAGCCATGTGGAACTGTGAGTCAATGAAACCTCTTCCCTTTATAAATAACCCAGTCTCAAGTATGTCTGTATTAGCAGCGTGAGAACAGACTAATACACCACTTGAATTGCTGGTGTGTCTGAAGGGCTTGACTCCCAGTCCTTCGAACATAGAGGGGTAGCCCTTTACCTAAGCTGCTCATAAAGTATTGTATTAAATTATTCAGAAGGGATGAAGGTGTCTGGTCCTGTCCGCAAGCAGAGAGGTGCTTTTTATACTGACCAGGCGGTGACCTAAGGCAGCCCTTGAGACAATTCCAGGTGCCCCTCAGGCCATTTTTCCACCCTGGTGTTTTTCTTTGTATAGACAGCCTATGCCTGGATAAGAACATGCTGCGTCAGACAGTTCTTTTTCACTTTGCCCCTCAAAATGTGTACACCGACAGCCACAGATAGATCCCAGATGTCGTTTTCCTGCTCTTGCAAACGTTGAAGTGGGCCCTGCCGGCAGGCACACCTGCCAAGGAAAATGCTGTCCTCGAAATGTTCCTGGCACCGTTTTCAAGAGGTGCCGACCAAGCGCTGGAATTGCTGACCTCCCTGAAAGAGAAGCCTGCAGCTGTGGCCTCTGGGGCGAACTCCCCCCATGGGAGGACCCGGTGGAGTTAAAACAGACTATATCCACATCACAGAGAGCTGGCCTATTGCTCAGGGCCTGGGAAGTGGTAGGGAGGGACCTTCCCAGAAGAGAGATGACTCAGGCTGGTCCCAAGCCCCTCCTGGAGAACAAACAGACAAGGTGAGGAGCAAGGAGGCATTTGGAGGTCATCTGGCCCAGCCCCCTTGTCTGGAGGACAGATATAAGTCCCATAAAGTCTCTTAGCAGGAGGACATCGTCCAGGTTGAATCTTGCTGCCTGCCCTCTGGTCAAATCAGTAGACCATGTCCTGTCCATACCTTGGGAATGAGACTCACCCAGACTCTCAGATAAGAGTTTCTATGAGACAGAAGGCTGGACTGGGGGAGCAAGGTTTGCAAATCGAAAGCATCAGTTGCTACCCCTGGGCACCATCTCCCATAGGAGACTCCTCGAACACTTTTTTAAAAGGCGAGATGTTGGCCAGGCACGGTGGCTCACGCCTGTAATCACAGCACTTTGGGAGGCCAAGGCAGGTGGGTCACCTAAGGTCAGGAGTTCGAGACCAGCCTGACCAACTTGGCACAACCCAGTGTCTACTAAAAATACAAAAATTAGCTGGGCATGGTGGCATCTTCCTGTAGTCCCAGCTACTCAGGAGGCTGAGGCAGGAGAATCGCTCAAACCCAGGAGGCTGAGGTTGCAGTGAGCCAAGATTGTGCCACTGTACTCCCGCCTGGGCAACAGAGGGAGACTCTGTCTCAAGAAACAAAAAAAGTTGAGATGTTGACATAACAGTTCTGAAGACCAAGATGGTGGAATAGCTTAGGTTTGTGAACTCCTCCTTTAAGACATGTATTAGCCCATTTTCATACTGCTGCATAAGACATACCCAAGACTGGGCAATTTATAAAATAAAGAAGTTTATTGGACTTACAGTTCCAAGTGGCTGTGGAGGCCTCACAATTATAGGGGCAGAGGAGAGAAGAGAGCTTGTGTAGGGAAACTACTGTTTTTTAAAACCATCTGATCTCTTGAGACTTACTCACTATCACGAGAACCGCATGGGAAAGTCCTGCACCCACAATTCAATTACCTCCCACCAGCTTCCTCCCACGACATGTGGGAATTGTAGGAGTTACAAGTTACAATTCAAGATGAGATTTGGGTGGGGACACAGCAAAACCGTATCAAAACATAACTGCAGCTGGGTGAGGTGGCTTACACCTGTAATCCCAGTGCTTCGGGAGGCCAAGGCAGGAGAATTACTTGAGACTAGAAGTTTGGGGTAGCCTAGGCAACAGATAGAGGCACCATCTCTCAAAAAAAATTTAAAGAAACTTAACCGGGTGTGGTGGTGCATACCTGTAGTCCTAGCTGCTTGGAAGGCTAAAGCAGGAGGATCACTTGAGCTGGGGAGGTCAAGGCTGCAGTGAACTGTGATCACACCACTGGACTGCAGCCTGCGCAACAGTGTGACACCCCATATAAAAAAAAAAAAAAGAAAGAAAGAAAAGAAAGAAACATAACTTGTCAAACTTTGAAACGTATAGAGAACATGATTGGGAAGTAGCATCTGTTTTTACCCTACCCTCTTCCCCCGCAACCCACCACCATGCAGATCTTGCTAATGTGGGGTCTTTGTGGAGGATCTTCAGGATCTTCAGTGCTAGAACCCAGCATCTAAACTCTATTTATTTGACATTGGGGCCACAGCAGATTTAATAGAACAATGACATGATAACAAGTGTATTCCTGAGAGATTTAAATGCACGTATATAGAGAGCAGATGTTAAGAAGGAAGAAGCTGGCTGGACTCAGTGGCTCACATCTATAATCCTAGCACTTTGGGAGGCCAAGGCAAGTGGATCGCTTGAGCCCAAGAGTTTGAGACCAGCCTGAGCAACATGGTGAAACCCCATCTCTACAAAGAATACAAACATTAGCTGGGTGTTATGGTACCTGCCTGTACCCCAGTTACTTGGGAGGCTGAGGTGGGAGGATCACTTCAGCTCAAGTGGTAGAGGCTGCAGTGAGCTCACATCACACCACTGCACCACTGCACTTCAGCCTGGGCCAGAGTGGGACCGTGTCTCAAAAAAAAAAAAAAAAAGAAAGAAAGAAAGAAAGAAAGAAAGAAAGAAAGAAAGAAAGAAAGAAAGAAAGAAAGAAAGAAAGAGGAAAGAAAGAAAGAGAGAGAGAAAAGAAAGAAAGGAAGGAAGGGAGGGAGGGAGGGAGGGAGGGAGAGAAGGAAGAAAGAAAGAGAAGCAGCTAGGGTCCAAGAAACAAGCTAGGAGAGCGTGATGGGATTGTAGTTGCTAGATGCTGAAGTTCTGCCGACACAGTGGGTTTGGGGAGTAGGAATGAAAGGAGAGTGGAGACTGGCCATAAGTTGGGAGGGAAAGTGATTGGTTGTGACGGAAAGGAAAGAGAAGGGGGTAATGATGACTTTTGGTCTCAGAACCGGAGAATAGTGGTCCATGGACAGAAGTAGAGAAGGCAAGATGAGAAGATCTAATAGGCAAAGGCAGCGAGTTTAATACTTTTGGTATTTGCTACGTATGCCCTCTGTACCTTTAACGTGGGCCTTCAACCCTTGGACAGGGCTTAAGATGGTTGCATCCCAAGTGGTCCATCCCAAGCGAGTTTTCTCTGGACTTATCCGGAATGACTCTGAACCTTTTGAAGACCCCAAAACCAACCCAAGCTTTGCGTGATCTCCGCGGGATGGGTAAGATTTCTTGCTCTCCAGAGCTCTTTTCTCTGTAGGCTTAGCTACTCAGTGACTAAATAGATATGTAAATGCTTGCTAGCAAGCATTTGAGGCAACCTATTCAAACCCATGCCAGTGGTGAATATTAACCTGCTTTCTGGTAAGAATTTCAGAATTCCAGGACGTCTCAGATTTCTGGCTGGTACACCTTGGGCAAGGTTCACAGGCTGGAATGGTTTTGGAACATGTATTAATGTACTTTTTCCTCTTGGTTTGGAAACCAACTTACCCTAGGTAAGGAGAGATTTCTGACAACAGCTCAGCAATCACAGTTTCCAGAAAATGGCTCCAGTGGATCAACTATGAGTTAAGTAAAAAAAAAAAAAAAAAAAAAAAAAAAAGTCAGTGCTACTGTTTGAAGTATGTCTAGAGTATGGTTTTAATCCATCACTGTCAGGCTCATATAAAATTCCAGGCTTCTGTAACTCTTTAACTTGAAGTGTTACAGGGTGTCGCATGCTAAACAGAAGCCAAGAGAAACAAGGAGTTTTTCATGGTTAAATCTTGTAAAGATGCTTTTTAAAGCATATTAATCCATTCGTAATCCATTTGGATTTTGGAATATGGTCATATATTGTTTGGTAAAAATGTACTAAACCTGGCCCTGGAAAATTAAGTGGAAATATAGGTTTAAACTACAGGAACTTCAAAATAGCTTCTCAATAATTCCTTCTCATCAATCATTCCAATTCTTAGATTTTAAAACATGTTGATATATCACATTTCCATCAAGAGGAACATACATATGGATTTTTGGAGAGGGGAGCAGAGCGGAAGAGAAAACTTTTAACTTTTAATAGTCTTTCAAATTGACCTAAAAGTGACCCAGATAATATAAGCCACTTTTTACCCTCATTCTCCAATAGAGCTTCATTTTTAATTATGCCAGTTTGATACAGGTGGAAGGATTACACGTTAGCAGACATCCTTCTTCTTTGAGTATGTGTTTTCCATGGTTATGTAAATTATGGAGGTGCTAAACATACACTTAGAGAGCTTTGTATTTTTTTAACTTTTTTTTTTTTTTTTTTTTTTTTAAATAGTGATGGGGTTTCGCCATGTTGCCCAGGCTGGTCTCAAACTTCTGAGTTCAAGTGATCCGCCTTGCTTGGCCTCTCAAAGTGCTGGGATTACAGGTATCTACCACTGTGCCCAGCTATAGAGCTTTGTTTATTTATTTATTTATTTATTTATGAGACAGGGTCTCAGTCTGTCTCCAAAGCTGGAGTACAGTGGCATGATCTCGGCTCACTGCAACCTCCGCCTCCTGGGTTGAAGCAGTTCTCCTGCCTCAGCTTCCTGAGTAACTGGGACTACAGGCACATGTCACCATGCCTGGCTAATTTTTTTTTTTTTTAATAGAGACCTGTTTTTACCACGTTGGCCAGGCTGGTCTGGAACTGCTGAGCTCAAGCAATCTACCTGCCTCTGCCTCCCAAAGTGCTGGGATTACAGGTGTGTGCCACCATGCCCGGCTATAGAGCTTTTTAATGTGCCAAGTTCTGTGTTCAGTGTTTCCGTAATCCTCATCTGACTTAATTCTCCAAGTCCTTGCCTAAGGTACTGTTGTCCTCACCGTCCTATGGGGAGACAGGTCACTTTCCCAAGTCTGGGCAGCCAGCAGCAGGGCTGAGAGCCCCACTCAGACCCCGTGATTTTATTTTTCATGTTCTTGTATCTGGCATCGAATGTCAGGGCCTTCTTGGCCTCTGGGAAAGACACAGGATGGCACTTTTGAGAGGAGTGTGAAATACATGAAGGCAGGACTTGCACACACCTGGACATGAACTAGAGGTGAGGCGAGAAAGACAGGAAGTAGATCAGTGTTGCCCAGACCCTACCTTTTCCACCTAGGGTGTGGACCGTCCTTCAGAGTATAGCCTCCAAGTTGGAATCCGTGTATACCACTGATGGTGTTTCCTGGGATGGTGATATTTATGAAGTGCAAAGGCCTGGCCACAGAGAGCTTGAGGACCATCGTGTGAGACAGTGAAACCTTCAAAGGCAAGGGCCCTGTTTCATGAGTTTTCTCTCTCCAGCAGCTGTCTCAGTGGGCCTGTTTGAGCTGACCTGTCCCCTCAGTATTAGCAACTGGCAACAGTGGGCTTTTCTTAAATACAGCAAATATTAAGTGTCGTCTCGGCCGGGGGCGGTGGGTCACGCCTGTAATCCCAGCACTTTGGGAGGCTGAGACGGGTGGATCATGAGGTCAGGAGATCGAGACCATCATGGCTAACATGGTGAAACCCCGTCTCTACTAAAAATACAAAAAAAAAAAAAAAAAAAATTAGCCGGGCGTGGTGGCGGGCACCTGTAGTCCCAGCTACTCGGGAGGCTGAGGCAGGAGAATGGTGTGAACCCGGGAGTTGAAGCTTGCAGTGAGCCGAGATCGCGCCACTGCACTCCAGCCTGGGCGACAGAGCGAGACTCCGTCTCAAAAAAAAAAAAAAAAAAAAAAGAGTCATCTCTGGGCATTTTAGTTTATTCATCCATTTGTTCATTTATTCCACAGGGATTTATTGGGCATTTACTATGTACTAACTGTTGGGGAAACAGCAATGAAGGGAGATGAAGTGTCTTTGTTATAGTGTAGCCATGTAGTCAATGAATGAATGAGAGAGCAATATGCAGGAGAGAAGTGCGGTATGGCCCATTATACCAGGTAAAGTGATAGAGAAGGGCTGGCGATGAGAGCAGCCTAATTTCAGGAAAGTCTTTAAGGAATCTGAAGGCTGAGTTGCCAGGGCCAGCCGCATGGTACTGGAGAGTGGGAGGCCCAGGCGGGGGGAATGCTGGCTTAGCACAACTGAAAAATACAAAGGTAGAATATGAAGTGTAATGACATGGTTGAGATTGAAATCTGATGTGGATGGAGAGGTTTTGCAGTCTTTCAGCCCAAGGTTTGAAAAAGAAATGGAATTTCTAAGTGGAGTGGGCAGCCATAGGAGAGTTTTAGACAGGACAGTGGCCTCGCTGGATTTGCTGCCCATTGACTTGGGTTCAAAGTCATGTCCATGCTGCTATTACAGATGCCTCCCAGAACAGTTTATACAATCATCAACATATATTCATGGAGTATCTTCTGTCTGCTAGACACAGAATTGGGTATTGGGCTTTAAAGATGGATAAAAGGCAGTGCCTGGTCTTGAGAGGCTGCTACCTGGATGGTGTGTTTGCCATCCTCAGTAATGTGTATCCCTTACAGATGGTGCCTAATGACGCTACAATTACTGGGATGCTTTTTATAATTTTCTTCTTGTGCATTGCTTTTGATTTTTGGTTCGCTCTTTGGCATTAGCTCACCAGTGGCAAATGTGTATCCTTTAAGGGTGGACTTAATTTTTTGAGAAATGGGCAAAAGTTGTTTCAACTCTAGTCTCATGAATAAAGCAGGAGATTTATTGTTGGCAAAAGTGGCAAATAAAGAGGGCTGATGTTTGTATATGGCTCCTGAAATGGCTTAGAATGCCATTTTACCAGGTTGTCAAATTATTCAATGATCAGATATCAAATTATTAAAAATTATCAAAAGGAAGTTCCCTGAAACACAGAAGTGTTTGGACTTTGTAGGTACCCAAGTCTACTGGGAAAATCCCCATTTCTGGGTAACCCAGCCCCTTTTAATGACAACTTCAGTTCTCCAAATTCCACTTCCCCTTTTAGCCTGCCCCTCTTCCGTCATCCTTCATCAAGGTGACATAGGTCTGGCAATCTTTTGGGTATAGACTTGTGGATGTTGTTTTTGACATTTGTACATGCTTTTGCTCAAGTTCAAGGCCCAAGTTGACCCAGTTCATATATATACACTACATATATACAATATATATAGTATATATATACTATATATACACACATATATACTATATATACACATATATACATATATATGTATATATATGTACTGGTATTATATATATACTAAATATATATATACACTAAATATATAATACCAGTACATATATATACATATATATATATATAACCCCACCCAGATAGGATATTCATGGTTAGACCATAAAGTCTACATAACTGGACATTTTAAATCTATCTATATATAAAAATATATATACTATATATATTATATATTTATATATATATTATATATGTATTATATAATAGACAGATATACACACACACACCACAGGTCTGAAGCTTTTAAGAATAAACATTACTTTCATCCCATGATACAAAAATGCATTTGAGGTGGTCGTCATTTTACTTGGGCCAGGGTCTTCCGAGACTTGGGACAATAATACATTTTTTTCTATCTTAAGTAAACGTATGCAGATTCTTAAAGCATGAATGCATGTATTACACACGTTATAAATTTGAGTAATAGAAATGTTTGTGTGTATACATAGACAGCATAAGGAGTATATATTGTGTATAAAATAACCTCTGTGGTATTTATTTACCCTGATTTTTTGATTTACGAGTCGTCATTGCTCACTATAGAAGAAGAAAAATAAATACGCAGAACACTGTAGATTTTTAATGGGGTTACTTCCCATCTTAGCTCAGTGTTTCTCTACCAAAGCTGACCTTGAAATTGCTTTTTAAATACAAGTCAAAATATGCAAATTCCGGAATCAGGAGGAGTATCCGCTGTTAGGAGTTCTTTCGAATTCACATTTTTACATCATTTCCATCAACATCCTGTGTTCCATCTGCTTCTTAATCCATTAGTATCTGAGTCGGGGGATATGGGTTTTCTCAAATGCGCTAATCTCCACTGAGGTTAAAATACCCTAAACGTTCACATATGTTTTTCTTTCTTTTCTTTCTTTTTCTTTTTTTACATTAACTTTTCTTTTCCTTTTGAATGACCGCAAAGCATATCTTACCCAGCGGGTTTACTTTTCTTTCGTTTTCAGTATTCATGACATCAAGGCCCTGTGTGTTATCTTATTGTCTCCTTATCCTGGTCCTTAGAGTCTTTCAAGAGAAGAAGTTGATCCTGGTGTAATGTACAGCTTCATTCTAATGAGTCGTATCAGTCATGTATTTT